AGCATAAACAGTAGAAAAAACAATTTACTTAATAAAACTGGTTACTAAAATTTTTAACTTAAAAGTGATTGACAGTTGAATTTATTAAAATCCCCCAAATATTAAAATTTTAAAACCCCGATCAAAAAGTCTTCTCGAGTAACTGATCTGATTCCAACGATTTTTAGCTTTTTAATTCTTTTCAATAAAATTTCATATTTGCAGCTATTTTGACTAAACTTATTAAATAATGCATTTTCAGTAATATTTGAACCAATCAGAAGAAACATTCGAAAGTTACAAAATAAAAGAAATGAATATCCATGTTTATTCAATTAAATTGGCAGACTGGAAGTTTTTGCCATCCAATGGCAGTTTAAGCCTTGTCTCCAGGATACAATGTTGTTGTTTTGTTTATTAACACATCCGGTGGTTCCCACTCCATCACTGTCTTGTTATAGGTGTGTCTTCACTACACTTAAAAAACTGCAACATAACTCCACCCCTCCTTCAGAGTGCCGGCACTGTGCTTCCCATCTCCAGGACTCAAGTCCGGCTATATGGTTTCCCTGTATTCTTTCATATATGTTACTTTGCTCACACTCCAACAGCACGTCCAGTCATGAAAACCGTTTGTCTCCGCTCGCTCCTATCTAACATTCTCACGCGTGCTTGCTCGAAGTCCAAGCCCCTCACACACAAAACCTCCTTTATCCCCTCCTTCCAACCTTTCCTAACACGACCCCTACTCGTACCCCGTCTTCCTTCCACTAAAGATTTATATGCCCTCCAAGTCATTCAATTGTGTTCCATCCTCTCTAAATGTCCAAACCATCTCAACAACCCCTACTCTGCCCTCTGGATAATACTTTTAGAAACTCCGCACCTACTAATCTCCAAGTTATGGATTCTTTGCATTATATTCACACAGCACATTGCCCTTACGCACGGCCTCTCCTCTCCCTCCAGCCTTCTGTTTGTCCCAACATTTACACCCATACTTTACACCCATATAAGAGCGGTGGTACCACTCTACTCTCATACATTCCCTTCTTTATAGATGAAAATTAGACACATATGCAACAACTGGGTGTCATTAATGTAGACGTTTCGCCATCCAGTGGTTTTATCAATACAAATTCTAGGACATAATTTGAAGACAGTAGAACTATACGCAAAAGATGAGGTAATCAGTCCCTCAACCTTGGAGGTGTGAAGAGCACCGTAGTTGTGAAGAATCCTGTCGGTATTGTATTGCGAGGCAGGTCCAACTCACACCCACCCACGCCCACTCATGTATTTATCTAACCTATTTTTTAAAACTACACAAGGTTTTCGCTTCGATGACGCTACTTGGGAGTTCTTTCCACTCATCCACAACTCTGTTACGAAACAAGTGCTTTTCTATATCTTTTCTGAATCAATTTTTTTCTAACTTGAAACCATTGCCTCAAGTCCTGTCTTGGTTAGTTATTTTCGGATTTCTGATGCATGGGATCATCTTTGTCATCCTCCTTCATACGTTCTCCAGTGCATTTATACAATTTCTGTAATACAGTGTCCAGAACTGTGCAGCATAATCTAAATGAGGCCTAACCAACGATGTATACAGTTGACGAATAACCTGCAAACTCCTGTTATACTTTTTGGTATGAAGCCAAGAATTCTATTCGATTTATTCGAATACTTATGCACTGTTTGCCCAACTTTAGATTTATACTAACCAGAACTCCCAAATCTTTTTTGCACTCAGATATATTAAGATCTACATTTTTTAGTTTATGTGTATAATGGTTATTTTCCTTTCCAACTCTTTGAACTTTGCATTTGTCTGTTAAACTGCATCTGTTACTTCACCGACCACTGCAGCAGTCTGTTCAGATCTTCCTGGAGCACTCTAGTGTCCTCGTCAAAATCATTTCAACGGCCTACTTGCAAGTCATCGGCAAACTTGCTATGTTGCTATTTATACCCTCATCAATATCGTTCATGTAAATTGTGAACAACAAGGGGCCCAACACTGACCTCCATGGAACACCGCTTGTGCTTGTGATGCTTCTCCATTCCTAATTCTCCCCATTTATGCAAATTCTCTGTTGCCTATCTCTCAGCCACGCTTCTGTCCAGGAAAAAAAAAAGTTCTCCTCCTATTCCATATACCTAAACTTTTCTGAGAAGCCTCGATTTGGAATTCTATCAAGAGCTATACTTAAGTCCATATACACAATATCGTATTCATTACCATGATCTACCTCCTCAAATACCTTAGTGAAAAAGTACAGTGGAACCTCTGGTCACGAACGCTTCCGAACACGAACATATCAGTTCACGACCAAAATATTAGCCAATTTTTTGCATCTGGTCACGAACACATAATTGGGTGACGAACAAACACAGCCGCGCCAATTTTCACATTCCTTAAAAAACTGCAACATAACTCCACCCAATTTTCCCCACCGTGATATTTCGGATTAGCAATGTTTTATAAGCAGGTAGTGCTGAAACAGCTTTTAGCAATGCCAATACCCGGCTAGGGCTTGCCATATATGATTTTTGGTAAATATTTTTTTCTCAGTTGTTTGTTGGGCTATCTTATTGAAACTTGGGGAATGTATGATGGAAATGAAAGAATTTTTTTATTTTTATTAACACATTGGCCGATTCCCACCAAGGCAGGGTGGCCCACCAAGGCAGGGTGGCCCACCAAGGCAGGGTGGCCCACCAAGGCAGGGTGGCCCACCAAGGCAGGGTGGCCCGACAAAAATAAAAACTTTCATCATTCACTCCATCACTGTCTTGCCAGAAGGGTGCTTTACACTACAGTTATAAAACTGCAACATTAACACCTCTCCTTCAGAGTGTAGACACTGTACTTCCCATCTCCAGGACTCAAGTCCGGCCTGCCGGTTTTCCTGAACCCCTTCATAAATGTTACTTTGCTCACACTCCAACAGCACATCAAGTATTAAATGAAAGAAATCGGACGATAAATAACGGAGTTCACTGGTCAGCCATTAGATGCCCTTAAAACTCTTAGGACTCGTGCAATGTTAGTTTTCTCTGCTGTTCAAGGTTTTTCTGTGTTATAGTTTACTGTCACCCTGGGCTTTTTATGGTATAATTATCTATTTTTGTGCTTAAAAAATCATAAAAAATAATATTTACATGCAGTTCGTAGGGGTCTGGAACTGATTAATCGTATTTACCTACAATCCAATGGAGAAATTAGGTTCGGATCACGACAAAATCGGGTTGCGACCAGAGTTTTGGAACTAATTATGGACGTGACCAGAGGTTCCATTCTAAGTAAATTCATAAGGCATGAACGCCCTTTGTAAAACCCGTACTGAGATTCATTAATCAATTTAGGTGGCTTTGAACAGCCTCGGCAATTGTAGATTCCATCAATTTTCCCACTATAGAAGTTAGGTTTATTGGTCTATAGTTTTAAGTCAGGACTTGTCTATTGATTTGTAGATAGATAATACATTTGTTATTTTCCACTTATCTGGCATTTTGCCAGTTTGTAGAGACATGTTGAAAAGACTAGCCAAAGCTTTACTAAGTTCCTCCTTATGTTCTTTTAAAACCCTTGCCAACAATTAATCAGAACCTGGGGATTTGTTAGGCTTTAATTTACTTATTTGTTTGAGAACCACATCACTAGCGTCCTGTTCTGTATAATTTATTATTTCTGGAATCTTACTAGTATCTTCCTGCGTAGAAAGTGGGAGAATATAAAAATATAAAAATCTATACGTTTCTTTATCATTTTCGGTGAGCTGACTTAAGTAACTTTTGAGAAAACTTATCTTGTCCCTAATCTTACTTCTATATACCTTAAAGAAAATTTTTGGGTTAATCTTCGAATCCCTTGCGACTTTAACATCATAATTTTTTTGCTTTTCTTTTGTTTTTATTTTTCCCTTTAACTGAATATACTTATTTCCTAACTGCCCTTCTCCTTTTTATATTAGCCTGAAAATGCCTCTCTCTTTTGACCAATGAGATGTTTTAATCTATAGTTTATACATTTAGGATCATTTTTTATTTTATCTAATTTCCTTATTTGGAACATAAGTAGTCTGAGCAGCTATAACTATGTTTTGAAAAATGTCATATGGGTAACCGTCACCACCTACCTGACCCATAGTCAGGTCATTCCAGTTTCACCCATCCGAGTAATTTCTCAGTCCTAGGAAATCAGCCAAGCGCAAGTCAGGGACAGAGACTTGATTATAGCAATTCGGGTAATTCCATCATATATCGATAACTCAGTGATTTGTCATCGCTTTCCCCAACCTCATCATTATTAATTAGTGATTCCTTGTTGGCAAGATCCAAATCAAGCAGGTTATTTCCTCTAGTCGCTTCCGTCACAAACTGTTTTAAAAAGTAATCCTGAATCGTATCAGGAAAGTCTTCGGACTCAAGATTTCATGTAAAACTGCTCCATTTAATTTGTCTAAAGTTAAAATCTCCCATTAACATAACAATTTCGTAGCTAGATGCCTTGTGAATTTCGTCAAATAGAAGTTTACAGAACTCCCTATCAAGATGGGCCTGTAAATCACCCCCAACGAACATGAACACCTTGTTAACCAAAGATCTCAACCCACGTCTCTGCAACCGCACTATCAAATGCAACTTCACACGACGACAAATCCAAGATTTTATGAAACACTTGATTAAAAACTTCGATAACTATGCACATCTCATGTACCTACCAAGTGTTTAAAAATGTCAAGAAATCGTTATTCTAGCGATCCTCATCGTAACTCTCAATTGCCCAGCTGCTGAGTTAATCCTTGACTCTCTACAACTGAAGAAACTTCTCCACGGCGCTGTTCTTCACCTATACTGACTGCCTAGATGTTTCCTATTCTGAGTTACTTTTTTACTCTCGTATCATTTTAAGCGACCTAGGTCCCAGGAACGAAACATATTCAATAAAGCTTTCCTAAGTGCATGCATTGATATCCTTTCATCCATATTGTCAGTAACGTTACACCTACTTCCAGATACCCAAGAGTTGGCGAGCATGGCTAACTGTAAGCCTGAGTTGAAGACTGTTGCACTGGACCTGCCCGCGGAGGCCAATACTATGTTCTTCCCCACATGTGTCAGACTGGAGCAGTGTGGTGGCTGCTGCTATGGTCCTCTCCTGACCTGTATTCCCAGTGTCACCAAGGTCGTCAAGTTGAAGGTGAGTCACACACACACACACACACCTAGCAATGGGCTAGTAACCCCTTCTCCTGTAGACATTTACTAAAAATGAGAAGAAGAAAAACTTTATAAAACTGGGATGCTTGAATGTGCGTGGATGTAGTGCGGATGACAAGAAACAGATGATTGCTGATGTTATGAATGAAAAGAAGTTGGATGTCCTGGCCCTAAGCGAAACAAAGCTGAAGGGGGTAGGGGAGTTTCAGTGGGGGGAAATAAATGGAATTAAATCTGGAGTATCTGAGAGAGTTAGAGCAAAGGAAGGGGTAGCAGTAATATTGAAGGATCAGTTATGGAAGGAGAAAAGAGAATATGAATGTGTAAATTCAAGAATTATGTAGATTAAACTAAAGGTTGGATGCAAAAAGTGGGTCATAATAAGCGTGTATGCACCTGGAGGAGAGAGGAATGTAGAGGAGAGAGAGAGAGATTTTGGGAGATGTTAAGTGAATGTATAGGAGCCTTTGAACCAAGTGAGAGAGTAATTGTGGTAGGGGATCTGAATGCCAAAGTAGGAGAAACTTTTAGAGAGGGTGTGGTAGGTAAGTTTGGGGTGCCAGATGTAAATGATAATGGGAGCCCTTTGATTGAACTTTGTATAGAAAGGGGTTTAGTTATAGGTAATACATATTTTAAGAAAAAGAGGATAAGTATACAAGATATGATGTAGGGCGAAATGACAGTAGTTTGTATTGGTAGATAAAAGACTGTTGAGTAGACTTCAGGATGTACATGTTTATAGAGGGGCCACAGATATATCAGATCACTTTCTAGTTGTAGCTACACTGAGAGTAAAAGGTAGATGGGATACAAGGAGAATAGAAGCATCAGGGAAGAGAGAGGTGAAGGTTTATAAACTAAAAGAGGAGGCAGTTAGGGTAAGATATAAACACCTATTGGAGGATAGATGGGCTAATGAGAGCATAGGCAATGGAGTCGAAGAGGTATGGGGTAGGTTTAAAAATGTAGTGTTAGAGTGTTCAGCAGAAGTTTGTGGTTACAGGAAAGTGGGTGCGGGAGGGAAGAGGAGCGATTGGTGGAATGATGATGTAAAGAGAGTAGTAAGGGAGAAAAAAGTTAGCATATGAGAAGTTTTTACAAAGTAGAAGTGATGCAAGGAGGGAAGAGTATATGGAGAAAAAGAGAGAGGTTAAGAGAGTGTTGAAGCAATGTAAAAAGAGAGCAAATGAGAGTGGGTGAGATGTTATCAACAAATTTTGTTGAAAATAAGAAAAAGTTTTGGAGTGAGATTAACAAGTTAAGGAAGCCTAGAGAACAAATGGATTTGTCAGTTAAAAATAGGAGAGGAGAGTTATTAAATGGAGAGTTAGAGGTATTGGGAAGATGGAGGGAATATTCTGAGGAATTATTAAATGTTGATGAAGATAGGGAAGCTGTGATTTCGTGTATAGGGCAAGGAGGAATAACATCTTGTAGGAGTGAGGAAGAGCCAGTTGTGAGTGTGGGGGAAGTTCGTGAGGCAGTAGGTAAAATGAAAGGGGGTAAGGCAGCCGGGATTGATGGGATAAAGATAGAAATGTTAAAAGCAGGTGGGGATATAGTTTTTGGAGTGGTTGGTGCAATTATTTAATAAATGTATGGAAAGGGGTAAGGTACCTAGGGATTGGCAGAGAGCATGCATGTTCCTTTATATAAAGGCAAAGGGGACAAAAGAGAGTGCAAAAATTATAGGGGGATAATCTGTTGAGTATACCTTGTAAAATGTATGTAGAGTTATTATGAAAGAATTAAGAATAAGACGGAGAATGGGAATAGCAGATGAACAAGGAGGCTTTAGGAAAGGTAGGGGGTGTGTGGACCAGGTGTTTACAGTGAAACATATAAGTGAACAGTATTTGATAAGGCTAAAGAGGTCTTTGTGGCTTTATGGATTTGGAAAAGGCGTATGACAGGGTGGATAGGGGCAATTTGGCAGATGTTGAGGTGTATGGTGCAGGAGGTAGGTTACTAAAAAGCAGTTTTTACGAGGATAGTGAGGCTCAAGTTAGAGTATGTGGGAAAGAGGGAAATTATTTCCCAGTAAAAGTAGGCCTTAGACAAGGATGTAATGATGTCACCGTGGTTGTTAATATATTTATAGATGGGGTTTTTAAGAGAAGTAATGCGAGGGTCTTGGCAAGAGGCGTGGAGTTAAAAGATAAAGAATCACACATAAAGTGGGAGTTGTCACAGTGCTCTTTGCTGATGACACTGTGCTCTTGGGAGATTCTGAAGAGAAGTTGCAGAGTTTGGGGTAATGAATTTGGTAGGGTGTGCAAAAGAAGAAAATTAAAAGTGAATACAGGAAAGAGTAAGGTAATGAGGATAACAAAAAGATTAGGTGATGAAAGATTGAATATCAGATTTGGAGGGAGAGAGTATGGAGGAGTGAAAGTATTCAGATATTTGGGAGTGGAGTGTCAGCGGATGGGTCTATGAAAGATGAGGTGAATCATAGAATTGATGAGGGGAAAAGGGTGAGTGGTGCACTTAGGAGTCTGTGGGGGCAAAGAACTTTGTCCTTGGAGGCAAAGAGGGGGAATGTACGAGAGTATAGTTTTACCAACGCTCTATATGGGTGTGAAGCATGGTGATGAATGTTGCAGCAAGGAGAAGGCTGGAGGCAGTGGAGATGTCATGTCTGAGGGCAATGTGTGGTGTGAATATAATGCAGAGAATTCGTAGTTTGGAAGTTAGGAGGAGGTGCGGGATTACCAAAACTGTTGTCCAGAGGGCTGAGGAAGGGTTGTTGAGGTGGTTCGGACATGTAAGAGAATGGAGCGAAACAGAGTGACTTCAATAGTGTATCAGTCTGTAGTGAAAGGAAGGCGGGGTAGGGGTCGGCCTAGGAAAGGTTGTAGGGAGGGGGTAAAGGAGGTTTTGTGTGCGAGGGGCTTGGACTTCAGCAGGCATGCGTGAGCGTGTTTGATAGGAGTGAATGGAGACAAATGGTTTTTAATACTTGACGTGCTGTTGGAGTGTGAGCAAAGTAACATTTATGAAGGGGTTCAGGGAAACCGGCAGGCCGGACTTGAGTCCTGGAGATGGGAAGTACAGTGCCTGCACTCTGAAGGAGGGGTGTTAATGTTGCAGTTTAAAAACTGTAGTGTAAAGCACCCTTCTGGCAAGACAGTGATGGAGTGAATGATGGTGAAAGTTTTTCTTTTTCGGGCCACCCTGCCTTGGTGGGAATCGGCCAGTGTGATAATAAATAAATAAATATAATTAAACATTTCTTTTCGGTGCATCACTTTGTGCACTTAAAAAGTAGGATGGAGGAATTAGGCCTATTGCAGTAGGCAACACTTTTCGCCACCTCGTTTCCAAAGCTGCTGTCCGAAGTATTCGTGCACAGGCAGCCATGATGCTTCAACAAAACCAACTTGGCTTTGGGGTCTCTCAAGGAAGTGAAGCAGCGGTTCATACAACAAGGGCGTATATCAACAACGTGCCAGAGGACAATGAAGTGGTAAAATTATATTTCAAGAATGCATTTAATCTCGTGAAAAGAGACGTGGTATTAGCAGCGACACAAAAACATTTCCATGGTCTCTTCCCTTTTGTTTCAGCTGGATATAGCAAGGAATCAATGCTCCTCTTTGGAGAGCATGAAATGACATCATCAAAGGATGTCCAGCAAGGGGATCCTCTTGCACCACTTCTCTTCTGTAGAGCAGTTAGGGAAATCACAGTCAGACTGACAGTGAGCTAAACTTCTAGCAGGTACAAAGGAGTCCCTCCTAGATGATCTTACACAAGTGATGACACGGGGACAGGAAATGGGTCTTATTCTGAATCCATCCAAATATGAAATCATCTCAGTCAGTCAACAAGTGATAAATGCAGTGAGATCTACACTACCAGGAGCATCAATCATTGCTCCACAAATAGCGTCGTGCTTTGAGCACCTCTGGGAAGCGATGCCATTGACATAATTCTCAGGAGGAAATTGGAAGAGTTGAAGAGAATGGAACAACGAATAGGCAATCTTGACACCCACGATGCCTTGTACCTTCTCACCAAGTGGTTGAATCTGCCCAGGTTGACATATTTCCTAAGATGTGCACCTTCATATGATAATTCTATACTGCACGTATATGACAGTATCCTGAGGCAGATTTTTACGAAAGAACTTAACCTTACTCTAGAAGACGGGCAGTGGAACCAAGCTACACTTCCAGTCAGACTAGGAGGCATTGGTGTCCGCAAGTCATCACAGATTGCGCTACCTGCTTTTCTGTCCTCATGCGTTACATCCAGAGGGCTTGTAGCAGCAATTCTCTCTGAACATCTTAGGGACAACATTGGAGTCCAGGACCAAAAGTTCATTGACAGAGCCATGAGCTGGGATAATCTAACGGGCTCTGAAGCCAGACCTGCTCCCCCCAACAACTACAAACAGTCGCATTGGGATGGCGCAGTAGTGGAGAAAATAGCCTCAACAGTGTTTCAGAGTGTATCAGGGAAGGATAGAGCCCGCCTCCTGGCAATGAGAGCTCCTCATGCATGGGACTTTCTGTTGGCTGTTCCCAACTCCAGCCTTGGCACACCCCTCGACCCATACACAATCCGCATTAATGTTGCTCTTCAACTTGCCGTCCTATTCTCGCCGAACACAGGTGTATTTGTGGCAGTGAAGCAGCAGATCGTTTCGGGTACCATGGTCTTGTGTGCCGTAAACCCAAGGGAAAGATTACAAGACATGAAGAGTTGACGTTGGTAGTGTTGACCCTTTATATGCTTTCCTTTGATGTTTCATTGTTATAGTTCCTTAATAATGTGACAAGTCACGACAGCACTTGGAATTTCACTATTCTTTCACATTGGTTGTTTTCCACACACACACACACACACACACACACAAATATATACATAATATATATATATATATATATATATATATATATATATATATATATATATATATATATATATATATATATATATATATATTAATATATATATATTATTGTAACCACGAACGAGGGGTTTTGATCAATAACAACACTG